GTCTAACGGAAAAGTTTGTACTGGTGTTTGAGGTGTTGTCAGTGGTATTGAGCATCCTCGGCACTGTACAGAGGGGTCTTTAATATCACACACACAAGCATATGCTCTCTCTCTCTCTCTCTCTCTCTCTCTCTCTCTCTCTCTCTCTCTCGCTCTCTCTCTCGTGCACAGATCGATACACAGCAACTCACACACTCCTGGCCTCATACACACACACACACACACACACACACACACACACACACAGACTAAGGAAGCTTTGATCTCCTACCGGATCGACACTTGATGATCTCTCCAAACTCGTCCTCTGCCGGCTCATCGCAGTAGTCCTCGGGGCGCACACCCTCCGCCATCGATAACACAGCACCGGGTGTAAAAAAGTTATATGTGAAGGAGGGAGGGAGGGAGGGGGGTAACTAAATGAGCAGGTTAAATCCACCAGGAGGAGGGGAAGAGACCCAAAGTACAAATCCAGAACCAACGGCCAGAGGTAAACGGTGTGTGGAGACAAGAAACGAGCTCCGGTAAAGACGGGGAGGACGAGGGCAGGAGGAGGACCGGCCGGGTCTGTCTGTCAGTCAGGGGCCAGACGGAGCGGAGCAGGTGTGTATGGGGGTGGGGGGGAGGGGGGGGAGCATTCCCACCTCTAAATAGTAGAATGCTTGGAGGTGGCTCTCCGTGGGCCCCCGTCCCGTTTGGCAGACGCCATGCGTAAAACCCGACACTCAGTGGACGCATCAGTGGACGTTTTTTTCCGCACTGGGGCGATGATGTATGGGGCAAAATATCAAGGTGAGTCAACCGTGGAGTTAACTTTGACCTCCTGTGGGTGGTGGTCACGTGACAGGCCACAACCAATATAGACACATTTCTATGAATGCATCATTCCCCCCCAATATAACCGCGATCTGATCGACCCAGATGAGTTTAGTAGGTTACTGCTCACTTTGATCTCCGTGGATTTGGGTCACAGAGTTTATAGCAACACGGAAAGATGGATGGAAAATTGTGATAGCCCTGATATTAATAAGCCGCAGACTTAGAAATGAGTTCCAAATGGAGAGGAAAGTTGTCTTTAAATGAAGTCTAAACATCACATATGATCTGCACAGTTTAATCTCTGAGGGGGAGAATAAAGATCAATAGAAAAATCTTAAGCGTAAAATAACACCAGAGGCACAAACATCTCTTTGCTCATTGTGGTTGGATGGCACTAATATTAGATCTGTTGATAAACTGATACTCACTTTGGATTTCCCGGTTATTCAAAAGTAGGACTTGATTTACAGTAATGGCTCCATTACGCACGACGCGCTGCGCATTTATGAGCCCGAGAGTTGCTATTATTAGATATGATGGTATGATGGATCCAGGCGCAGGTCTGGGCCACAGTCCCCCCCGACTACTCTGAAGTACAGAGAGCCTGCGGGGGTTCTGTGAGCGAATGAGCCGCTCCAAAAACAGAAACCTCGGCACTGACTGGCATCCCAAGCAGGCAGCCGCCGGCTGGACGGAGGTCGGGGCTGCTGTCTGTACAGGGAGAGGTGGTGAGTGTGTGTGTGTGTGTGTGTGTGTGTGTGTGTGTGTGTGTGTGTGTGTGTGGGCTGCTGGGGCAGAGAGGGGGTGGAGGTGACTTATGTCATTCAGCTGCTCCACTTGGTGATGTTGAGATGAAGTAAACTCACAGTAACACTTGTGTTTTGTTGACACTGGCTTTACTTTCTCATTGTTTTGGATCTGCTATAATAATAATAATAATAATAATAATAATAATAATAATAATTTTGCCTATTTTCACTGTCACCACATCCTAAAATGACAATTTGTGAGTGTCCTGGATGAAAAGTTCTGGGCTCTCTTAAGTAATTCTCTGATTACAAACAGTGTTAAGTGAGCTGTAAAGGGGGCACAAGTGTCTCCAAGACCCCCAACAGTACTTGTAAGGGTTCATATAATGTGGTTCACATGTTTCTTGCTTGCATATTCACTTCTAAAACCATAACAGTGATCTTATTTAATGTGCCTCCCTCCACTGGATCCAAATAGATATGACACTTTGAGCATACAGACCATGTGTGAATGTAAAATTAAGCATTAATAAAGCATGGCGTATTCATCTGATAAACGCTCATGCTGTAAGTACAAAGTAACTCTATATGGAGATCCAAGCTTTGATAGCATCCCTATAGGAAAGTTCTGCATTTTTTGTTCTTTTTTTTTTATGCATAAATGTTTTATTTTCTATTCCATGTTTACGCCATTTGTTTCATGTCTCAGTGTATTTATGGAATCTCCTGATGTTGCTCATGTGTGAGCTCGCCCAAGGAAATCCCAATCAGTTACACTGAAATAACATTAAAGTTCTGAATGCTGAAATCTTCAGTCACAGCAGGGCCAACATATACATTTCTTTCTTGCCAAATCCACACACATACACATTAATCCTCAGTGATAGCCACAGGACAGAATATGAGTGGGAAACAAAGCTTTTTAAGCTCGGAGGCAGAGCATTTTTCATGAAGGCCATTTTTACAGCTTATAAATATAAAACAGAACACTATTATACACTATAGCCCTATTTTCCTCACAGAGTTCCTCAGATTAGTCTTGTTGTGTCCTAATCCTATACTACATAATAACTGTATACAGTATGTACTAGACTGCAGTTTATAGGTTTATATGAACATTTTATATACAGTATGTATTCTCTTATTATAAATGTACAGACATGTAGAACATCAGAAAATGTTAAATTCAGATTTATTTTCTACAAATAATTGCTGAAACACTAAAAGAAAAATGTCTTTCTTAAGACTCATTACTTTTTTTTTTGTCTCCCAAACTTTTGCAACTTTGAGAGCTTCTGTTTCCTTCTTTGTATACTGACATTTATGAGCATACATAATTTAGTCATGTTTCCAGTGTGGACACACTCCATACTGATGGATTTGGGACACACTCAATCAGTGGCTTGAGGCAGCCATGGCAGGATCTGGACAGCAGGGGGCAGTATAAGCACAGATTAGGGAGCACAGTCATGACTCTCAACTGTAAACTAGGCCAGGGAGTCTTGGAAAGATGTTTTCTGAAGACGTCTCCCCAAGGGCTGAGTAAACAACAAAGGAGCTGCAGTTGATTCTAAAAAACTAAATGAAGCATGACAGGTAGAAATGATCCAGTGTGGTACTATATGTTATTGTCAGGTCATTCAGACACGCCCTGATTATGTGTATCAGTTGGAGGCTAAATGACAAAGATGTTGTGTGTGCTGGACGTTAGGTGCACTTACTGTGCTGATGAGAGCTAATCCAGGCTGACAAGGCGTGCTTGCTACTTAACCTCAGACTCTCTGTTTTTTGGCAGCAGGAGGAGCGGCAGGGGCATCGTTTCACTGCGGGGGCCAGATTTTCTACTTTATCAGCTGTGCTATAAAATGATGTTTCACTCTACTCAATAATTGTGCAGTATCTGCTTTTTCTTGGGAATGAGTAATGAAGGCAGGTAAAGAAGTCCCTGTTTTCACTTTTTGGAGGCAATTTGATTGTAATTTTTCAAGCCAATTAGCAGTCAAAAAGCACAACTGTTTTAAAATATCATTGTCAGTAGACAAGAGCAATACATTATGTCCCACTATGGCATTTCAGATTCCTGGAGAAAGGCCTCTGCTCCAGGGAACTGCCGCATTAAAACCAACTGTTATGTAACTTTATGAGATATTCTCTCTTGCAGAGATCTTGATGTTCCCTGCAGTGAAGTGTGCCTGTCACAGCAGCAATCATAAACCACTTTACTTCAAATAACACGTCTTGTGCTCTTTTTGTCACTCACTGGCTGTTAACAGTTGTCTTCGCAGCCAGAAATAAATAAAAAAAACTCCAGGCCTCTATGGGGCTAAATGTTGGAATTATCTTAATATGTTGTTGTTTTTTTGCCAGAGACAGTAAGTGTTGTTTTGGTCAAGTATTTGCTCCTCTATGGAGCCTCTCCTTATGTTGATAATTGGCACTACAACTCCTAATTGGCAGGAGTGTTTTCTAAGAGACAGCCTTGACAGCAAACTAGTAAAAAGCTGGCAATAGATATAATTTCTAATGTGTTCATTCAGATAATGAGGGAAAAGTAGTCCTCTTCCTGGAGGAATCTGGGTTTCTCGGAATTAACCCATGATATATTGATATAATGAATGAAGATTTCATTTTGTTATTTCAGAGCATTCAGGGCAGTAACTACCACTGAGCACTGGAACACTGTCTCCGGATAAGGCTGATTTTTGTGAGTTTCGCGGCCACCGTAGTTTCTCCTACACGCTTGGAAGACTGAGCTGTATTCAAATGGTTGCAATCTGCAACGTCACCACTAGATGCCACTGAATCCGACACACTGATCCTTTAAATATCAGTGTTAAATCGTTTCCATACCAGTGGTTTAAGGGTAGTGGGCATACAGAATATGTTCATAATCCAGTGTAGATGATTTTCTGTTATTAAATGAGAAACAAGCTCTGTTCTGGTATAAGAAGAATTAGATTTTTTAGGTTTTGGGCAAGGATTAGTTTTGCCAGACAACCTGCAACCAAAATTATAAAATTTACTGTGTCAATTAGATTTCCCTTGTTGTGAATTGCATACATTTTGTCTTAGAACAAGCTTTATATTATTAAATGGAGGTCTTCAAAAACTGGATGATTGCATACAAGATGGTATCGTCTGCATAAAGAATGACATTGACCAACAAGAATATCTTGACCTAGATATATTTTTTGGTTAGTCCTCTGGGTGCACTTGATTCATTGTATCTTAATTGCCGCTTTCCCTTTGCATCTAACAAATCAGCATACCAGGAAACTACAGTGCATCATTGCACTGAAATTTAGCGAACGTCATCTCTGCTCAATAAGATTATACTGAAAGTGAAATAAACATGACAGTAATCATTTCAGAGCTGAATAAAGATTATGAAAGAAAGAAGACATGACAACAAAATGAGACAGAGAGTGAGACTTTCTGTTCAGTGCTTTAATGTGCCAACGTACAAAGAGATAAATGCTGATTACTGACATCTCTACAATGGCATCTAAAACATGCCAACACACATGCACACACACACACTCTTCCTCTCCCTGTCAAACACACTGACACTCTTCCTCTGTCATTCACTCACATACATACACACTTCCTAAATCCCTATGCACATCATTAGACAGTGTTTCTCTCCAGTCTACTGGGAGATGATGCATAAAACAGAGCGGCCTCTGTTTGCGAGCCTCTACTTTTCTTCAGTAAATGAATAACCAAATAAATGCTAATAGCTACGAGTCAGACCTGGGCTAAAAAGTTCAAGGAACCAGCATGGGTCAGACACCCTGGGGCCACAAATAATAAGTATAACCTATTAAAGGGCAGTTGTGTTTTTGTCGCTGAGCTCATGTAGCTCCCCGTGGATATTACACTGAGGGGCCTAACACAAATAATCTTATTTACCCAGAACCACATTGAAGTGCTTCATTAAAAATCAAAGCATGTAGGTCATTTTTGAAACTGGTGCAAACATATTTGCATTGTCATTTAGAGTCAGAGGCTCTTAATTACAACTGATGTGACATTGATTTCAGCTCCCAATTAAGAAATCAAAAGACACGGCAACTTTAACTGCCTCTGTTCGCTCCTGAAGGCAGCAGCTATGAGAAGTTAGGGTATGTTTGTTTTCTGTATGACAAATTTGAAAATGTAGTATAACGGCAATAATAGCAGCTGCACAATGTTGAACTACCTGATGAAATTAAGCAGTACGTCTTTGATCTGAATCTGATCTGGCATCTGGATCTGGGATTTATCTCCCCTGCCAGATATTTAGAGAGTGTTTATGTGTTTGGCAGGTAAATTAAGAATAAGGGTGCTGTAATACCAGGGTGGCTGCTGACAAATTTTCTGCGCATAAAAAACAATGTATGTTTTTGATTTTGAAAGTATCAAATTGTTAATCTATAAAGTGATATTTGAGATTAGTCCTGTATATTTTAACCCAGGTCTGTTACAGTGTTGGTGCCTAATGTTCCTCTACACCACCAAAGCACAGAGACGTTTCTAGGTAGCAAAAACACCCTCACTAAGTCGTGATCATACAGTATTAAATACAGTAGCGGCCATATCAAATATCATACTGGTGGTGATGATCTCTATTACAGCACTTCCTCCTTGTGTCAGGACTTCTGTTGCGCTCTGCCCGCTCGGAGTAACAGCACACCGAGTCAGGTGACACAAAGTGCTTCGTCCATGACCTGACAGAAAATCTGGTGACCCAACAAAGCTAAACACTGATTAACTGGAGCCCCATCGCTAAACACGGTGAAGCTGTGACATCTTTCTGACAAAATACTGAAGAGCAGGGTCACATGCTGAAAAGCACTCGCTGACCCATAAAGCTGGTATGACTAATGGAATAATGGCTGTAACAGTGAGTGCTATTTCTGTTTTCACTCAGCGCTAAAGAAAACGATGGGTAAACTGTCACATCCTGTCACTAAAAACAATCCACATAAAAGCATCGAAGTTTAGGATTTTTTTTTTTGCCCCTCAGAAGACCCTACTTTCATATCACATCCATCAGTTCAGTAGTACTTACTAGAATATACACTGTGAATTTACAACATGAGGTTTATGTCAGCCTGAAAAGGCTTGTAAAGTGAAATTTAGTGGCTTTAGTCTCCACCATATCCTGCCCACCAGGCTATTCTTAGTAGCACTTTACAGTACATTACAGCCCACAAATTACAGTGTAAATATTTTGTATATACGGGGTACCAGTGACCTGGTAAGGTGAAAAATACATGGAATAATGGGATAACACATTTTACCCAGTACATTTTAAACCTGCATTGGCTCTTTTTTTTGCCACTTTTCTCCTTAGCAACAGTAATTTATACCATATGAATAGCTGGACATTTTGGGGAATACTCTCTTATAGCTTTAGATTTAGATTTAAAAGATTGATACCACTCTCATGTCTGTATGGTGAATATGACGCTACAGCCAGCAGCCGGTTTGCTTAGCTCAGCTTTAAGACTGGAAACAAGGGGAAACAGCTAATCTGGCTGTGTGGATTAAACAATAAAAATAAAACGTGCTAATTAGTGAACTTTATAGGTACTTCAGACAGAACCAAGATAGCTGTATCCCCTATTTCCAGTCTTAAATAAACAGCTACAGTTTAATATTTAGCATACAGACATGAGATGGTATCGATTCTCTCATCTAACTCTCGGCATGAGCGTGAATAAGCGTATTTCCTAAAATGTAAAACTATTCCTTTAATAATTTTTTTCAGCTTTATGACCCAATTTTCCTGTCTTGTTACTCAGCAACAATGTTAATGTACCCTGTAATTAATAAATAGGCACTCAGTCATTTAAAAAACACTAACGATGTAATTTATTTCAATGTAAACACAAAGTTGTTTAATTCCCTAACCTGCCATCTTCTTCCCTTGTACTTCCATCCTGTTAACCAGTAGCTATTTTATTGATACCCTTCATATATTAAATGGTAACACTATAATTTGAGGGCTGTAATCTAAAACGTTATGAAAATCTTCCCACAGCATCGGATCTCAGTCGTTAATAAACTTGAATGAGCTGATTTTAGAAGCTCGGCTGTTGTAGTGACAGGCAGAGCTGTCAAAAACAAATACATTTCCTCATCATCAACAGAGGAGATGATTTTGTCTGTGGTAAACATCATCGTGTCGGTTTATATAAAATAAATGGACTTCTGTCAGCTGCACAGTTCACATTTGTTAAGGTGGCAAGGGAGGCAGCCTGGATCCTATTTTTGGGGGATGGTTGCTTGACAGCTCCACTGTAAATATGTAACAATGGAAAGTACAGACAAGACACAGCTTGTATCTCCAAAATGTCATATTTTTACATTCGACTCCCTGCGCACTTTTGAAATTACAGTGTGTTTTGAAAGGGAGAATGGAGGTCACAGGGTTTGGAAAGTAATTCAACACTCAGGAGAAGTTGAATTTACACTTCAGCTGAGAGAAAACATAAATACGCTTTTGCACAATGAAAGGAAAAGATAGCTTCATCACCTGCCTCATCGCCCAATCTATAATTATAAATTAGTATTGAAGTTGCAATATTTGCTCCTCCATCCACATCCACAACCAGAAATTTCACTGGATCCACGTCTACCACCCAAACAACTGATTAGAGCCCAACCCAGAGGGCAGGGGAAACAGTGGAATTGAGATAAATGCGGTTACAATTCAAATCAGCATGTTGGGACATGAAAGCAGTGATTATTATCAGATCAGCTTTTCTATAAGGTGGTGGTGCTTTGATGTAAGATACAATCGTATGATTTGTCTACAGTATGTGTCCCAGCATCCATTATTCCTGACATTTGACACTGACTGATATTGACATTTGCTTTTCCTGTGCCAACACATGTATGCCCGGCTTGTTTTCCACTAAAATCTACACACACTGGGTGCAGGGCTGATCCCTGACATTTACTGTAGACAAGGAGACAGCAGTTTGGTGTTAATGAAACGTGGCCTGAACTTATCAGTAGATACACAGATCTGGTTTATAAATAGTCAGCTCCAGTGGCTATGTTTACATGCACAAAATAATGTATTGATTCCCCAGAGTTAGGAAATTGTGTCTTTGACAGTAATCCTGTTATGAGTTAAGTACTTTTTTAAAGTCATTTTTGACTATCTTAAATGTTTCTTTTACAATACGTATGCATTTATTTAACCAAAAGATGTAATGCAAATTCCTTAGACTGCTTCCAAAATCACCCCCTTATTTACTCACTATTCCCACCAAAATAAACTCCCAACAGCATAATATATAAGTGTTAGTAAATTAATAATTTAACATGTTTCAAAGTGGATTTTGTGGCACTGCACTGATTTTTGCCTACACTGGCGTTGGTATTGCGTACCTCAGGGCTCGATACTTGGTCCCCAATTATTTCTTGCATTTACTTTCTTCTTTCCTATATGTAGATATGAGATGAGTTTCCACTTATTATGAAGATGACACACAAATATCTAAGCTGTGACCTTGTAAATCACAGTGATTCTGGATACAATCCTAAACTCCAGCTACCACCATCTGGACTAAAAGCTAAAGACAACTTTCACCTGCACCTGAGCAAGGTGCTTGAGACAAATATGCCCCTAGGGATGTCTAGTAAAGTCACAGTTTTTGTTTTTTGTGAATGTCAATTGTCAAACTACTGATGTACACGTAAACATGTCCACTGGGAGCCTGTATCTGCCCGTGGTGTGTGTAGCGGACACTTCTATCCACAAACAGGATGCAAAAGGAGGTCGACCAGAGGAGGAAGGATCCTCCGAACGTCACGGTGCGGAGAAATTCAGCTCAATAGGGAATCGAAATTTAGCAGACCCTTGGAGGCAGCTGAGTGCAGTCCTATCTTACACCTCCGACCATGGCTAATCAATCATGACAGCTGCATGTGCACACCCTGTGGGTTGCCGCGGTAACAGACAAGTGGGTCGATAACAGAATATTGAGCGGGTGTCTTTATTTTATTCCCCCCCTCTTACCTACCCCCAAGAGGAACCTATCTGTCTTATGAAAAGTTATTAAAGCGCTACTGTAGTGTCTGATCCTCTTCCATGTCCTTGTGAAAGTTTAAGAGCTCCAGAGAACCCTGAAAAACAAAATGCCACAACTCCTAACTGAACACTGACGATGAGGAACTGATGGAGCAGGAGACTGGGGAGTAGATTTTTGAAGACGTCCAGCCCGACAATTTGATGTTTACAGGTGAGGATACACGTGCCTTTGCATGTGCATGCGTGCGTAAACGTGCAGTAAAAGCCTCCCAGTCTGACATCCTGTTTCCTAAGTAACAGAGTCATATCAATAGGTTGGGTCGTCCTGGTGACATAATAAGAGTAGTTCTTGCAGTAAAGAAAGAACGGAGGCATCAGCACCGTAACTCTCCATCCTTTGTTACTGCAGAGTTGTCAGTTCTCCCTGTTGTGTCACAAGTCATAGGCATAAACTAGAAAGACTTCTTTCCACCCCCCAACCCCTCCCCAGAGCTGACCTGGTGATGTTAGGGCTGTAAGTTCAAATACCCACCAGCCTCAGTGCCCACACTTCTGTTTACTGAGGCACGAAAAGCAATCCCCCGAACGCCAGCTGCACCCCCCTGAATTTCCCCAGGGGGGGCGGAAGCTTGTGGCGATACAGTTATTGGCTCAAATCCAGTTTATAGTATTCCTCACCGTTCTTGGGAATTGAGCCGTTAAAGGAAAATACCCCCAAATCCCTCCTCGCCCCCTGAATACCTCTCCCAGCATGTGACTGTAAGGTCCTCTACTTGAATCCGGGCTAGTAATACTCCTCATAATTCTTGGGGTTGAGGCAGTAGAGGATTCCCCCGCCGAAGGAGAAGATGGTCCCCCCCCAGGCCAGGCCGTAGCCCCAGTTGAACTCGTGGTAGATCCTCAGGTTGATGCTCTCGATGAACTTGATGGGGTAGAGGACCAAGCTGCAGGCTTGAAGAACAACTGGAGGAGACATACAGACAGTAAGTACAAGGCAAAGTATATATTCTTAAAACAACATCATCATGCTACTGATGATGTGACAGCTGATTGACATTGTTATTGTTTTTATAGAGAAAAAATGTGTCCAGTCTTTTGTGATGATCCCTTGCAGCTGATAAAGGATATTTAAAAAACTTTTACTGAAAGTTTCTTGTGAGTGAAGTTTTGCCTGTATACATTGCAGGCATCCAATATTATAAGAAGACATCTATTGTCTGGTATATTTTGATGGCAGACAGCAGTAATTTTATTGTGGCTAACATTACTAATATCCAGTATAAAGGGGGGTTCTGTGCTCTTAACCGGTGGTTTGGTAGTAGTGTAACACAAAGTAGATGTAGTGTTATACTACTACTACCTGAATTAACTGAACTATAATAACTTGTGATCCTCTGACTTTTCATGTAGCGCCATCATCAGGTCAAAATCTTAATTTGTCCAATATTTAAAAAGCAAAACTAATGTCAGCCTCTTCTATACTTTGCATACCTAAACATCAGCATGTTAGCATTGTCACTGTGAGCATGTTGTTAGCATTTAGCTGTGCCGAAGCCTCATAGAGCTGCTAGATTACAATGTCCATATACTGTAAAAGCTATCATGACATTATAATAATGTGCTTTCTAACCCCCCTGCGGCACGCTCATCCACGATTGTAAGTGGAAAACCTGTCTATAGTCACCATAGAAACTAGAGCTTACATATCATGAAGAAGATGAGGAAGGAAGGTTAGAAAAAATAAAAAGTAATTTAAAATACAGTGTAGTCAGTATCTATATTTAGTATTGCTATTACAGCAAGATGCCAGCCTGGGTGCCAGCTGGAAGAAACAGAAGGGTTGTAAATGTTGGAAATATTTATGTATTTGGTAATTTATCAATTTTAAAACACCAGCTGAACAATAATACAAATATGTGAGCCAACATGGAAAAAAGATATTTGTTCTCAAAGATTTACAATGGTGTATTACACAGTAGGAGGTGAATATTTTATTGATATGTTAATTATTAATTATTGAATGCTGAACACACTTCCTCTGATGTAAAATGAGTTTGCTTTAAGTTTAATTCATGTTAATGGGATTTGGTCGCATACACTATTTTCTTTTACAGTCACGTACAAAACAGTTTAGAAATACTGGAAAAATAGCAGATATTAGCATCGACTGGGTGGTGAAGAGAGTCCATGCCCGGGGGGGAATGTCATTTAGCTCTGTTTAGTTCATTTAGCGCATTTTAGAAAAACAAAATAAATCAAACTCGATCAGGCAAGAGGAAGGAGAAAAGGATGAAAGAGGGGAGAGGGAGGACGGAGGAACTGCAGGACTGCGACAGAGGAGAAGGATCAGAGTTGGACTAAAGGGTCAAAAGAAGCAGGACGAGTTTAGGGAGGGATGGAGGGATGACGGGAGGTGAACGGAGGACGGGGAAGGGAGAGAATGGGCAGAGAGATAGATGCTTAAAATGGGGGGGGGGAGAGATGGATGGCAGTGGAACAAAGGGGAACACATCAATCGTTTCTTCAAAGGGAATTCATCTTGTGGGAACGTAAACAAGCTCTGGCACTTTCCTGCATGGAAAAAAAAATGCATAATACAAAAAAACATGCAAATATTAAAACAGATGGTGTGAAAAACAAGCCTTAAAGAAGTAGCTGGTGGTTAAGAAGTGTGTATGTGATCTATCATTCACTGAGGGTCCTTTTATAGTCCACCCAAAAACATTTTGCCTCTACGCTCGGCTTTTAAGATATCATTTAGAGAGGGTGTTTGTGCTCCATCACGGGGAAAACAAGTGCATCTTGACAGCCAGTGTTTTTTGTTTGTTTGGATGTTAAGTACTCATAGATTACAGAACTCAGTTTTCCAAGCTCTAGAATTAAATAATATATAATGAGTTTAGCTTGAAGTATTGATTATTATTGAATCAAAGTGGTGCATTTTGACTTTTCGCTCAGTAAAATGCTTTAATGAGAATATGGGTGCATTTTTTGTTTGGGTTCCAATCCATGGCGCTGAAAACAACAAACAACTTTATGGTAGGAATCAGCCTCGCAAGAAAACATGATTAGAAATATCTTTTCATCGCTTTTAACTTCCATCTTTTAAAGTCACTTAGTGCTGGTAATATTTTGAAGCCACTATGTGTATTATTTTTTACCCACCTGTCTTTTAATTAATTCTGATGGCATAAGTTTCTGTTTGTAGAAAAACAAGGAAATCCTGTTAAAACTTAGCATTAGGGGCGCCCATATACCAAGCCTGTCACTATCTATTAAAGGAAATTAAAGCCCCCTAAAGATATATATAAATTGCTTTCTGCCAGAGTATCTTTATTATTCTACCACTAGGGGGTGCTAAGTTGAAAACTTTCCAATTCGACACACAGTGGATTTAACATCTCAAAATTAAGAGCTTCCACCGGCTCTCGAGCTCTGCAACCATTGCTGTGGTGAAAGCAAGTTTTACTGACAGTGAAAGCAGAGGCAGAGATCGGTTGATCAGGAGTCGGAAATTGGCTCCCCCGACAGAGGAAGGTAGTCTGTGTAAATGAGGGAGCTATTCAATCTCAGAACATTACCTCAGGATTGGTTCATTGTTCCCCTTTTGTCCAATAGCCACAGTCGCAGCCCCGACATTACCTGCTTCCTTATATCAATGATTACTTGTATTGTAAAAAAGGAAAATCGAAAACATACACAACAGTGTTACTGTCCTGGCTGCATCTTTAGTACAAGACATGAGCAACTGTATTAGAAAAATCTTGTTGTTCTTAAGGAGTGACTTAACAGCAGGCTGAAAATCAATGTTTTGCCGCCCTCGCTGGTTGAAGGTTTCAAGCCACACCAAGCAGTGACTTCATGGTGCACTGACACACCCTGGAGTACACGTTTACATCACTGCAACAAGGTGAGAATTTAAACCACAGAGGAGGACAAACCTGTTGCCAGCTGAAGTTTATTGTAGTTTATTTTAGAAACCAAATAATACATTTGGTTAAAATCTGTCTTTCTGCTTCTGAGTCAATTCTGGATGAATTTGGTAAATACCAGCCAAGTGTTTTGTTCCCAAATCGCATCAGTAAAGCATTTTGAATTTGCTGCAGCTCTGATTCGTGCCTCGAACTGGATTCTTTTGTATTATAATGGCAGCTGAGGCTTAGTATTTTAAGCCACCTCCCTTGCCAAACCTGAAGAAAAAAAACATGATTTCTGAGGAATGTTGTGTTTCTATGCTCAATAAATTGTGGATATCTTGAGGAAATGGTTGAAATGAGGCTATTCTCCCTTCGTATGTCCATATGTATTTAAACTGGAAATGTCCCACTGACTGTTTGCTTTGCCGAGGCTAAAGACAGAAAAGCTTCTCCACCATTACAGCATGCAAAATTATTCTATTTGAATGAGCAGTCAAATGTCAATCCAGACATAATAAGGATGTTTAGTTCCAATCCGTTGCTTTTTCATTCCTCTCACATGCTTTGAAAGTATTTTCCAGGAAAAAAAAAGACTCTAAGTTCATAAAAACCACAGAGCTTCTGTAAATCTCAATCACTTTAAGTTAAGAAGATTTCCTCTTTACTGCTGTATCTCACTTCTGTGGCTTGCACAGTGTGATTGAGAAAAAAGTCCGACAGGCAACACATCCAGCTTTGCAAAATGAAACATTTCACGCCTTAAAAAAATGAAATTTTCCAATTATTCCCGGGAGGTGAGAATGGGGAAAATGTGGAAACTTGACAGTTGTCCAACTTGAGATTGGAGCTGGCTGGGGAAATTAAATGGACAGGCGTGACACTCAGCTCCGACCCTGCTGGGCCCGACTCATAAAAATAAGATTTTCTCTAAATTAGTTTGAGGGAGAGAGGGATTGTGTGTGTGTCAGCGTGTGTGTGTGTGTGTGTGCAGCCTGTGTGCCTACTTAATGAGTAAGTAAGGATTATCATTTAAATGCATGTCAGTTTTCAATGTGATTACCCTGCAACCTTCCAGTTACCTTGTCTAAATTGGCTAATTAAGTGTGTATGTGTGTGTGTCATTAGTGTGTGTATTTTAGCACATAATGAGTGTGTGGCCTCCGACCCAGGACTGGTATTATTGCGTGTGGACTAAAGTTCATTGTGTGTGCGCTGACCTGCAGCGAAAAGCATGAAGGCGACGGGTGCGTAGAATCGCCGTCTTGTGCCGATGCACACGGCAACCAGAGCGACCAGGAATGACATCAGCACCAGGGCTCCACCCCCTAGCAACAGGGCCAACGTAGCAACCTGCCAGTCTGGAATGGGAAGGAGGGAGGAGAAGAGATGAGGGAGGAAGGTGGACAGAGAAAGTGGCAAGAAGAAAGTGAGCACGAGGAGGCAACATACATACAACATGTTGCATAAAAACATTAAGAGAACATTCATGAATAAATGCATACCAGAGCTTGAAATGAATTGCATGAGACCTTGAGGGTGGCCTGGGAGGAGAGACTGAGCCACAGGGGACTTATTATTTTATTTGACATTTTATATTCACCATTAAGTATGTTGATTAGAGGGAGAACATGGGAGGGGGTGAGGACGGAAGGAGGGTAGGTATAAAAATTGAAGGCATGGACAATGAAATAAAAGGGAGACAATATGGTGAAAGAAGGAGGGAAGGAAGAAGGAGAGCGCAGGTACATGGAAGAAAGGGCGGGATGGGGTGAGGGATGAAGAGGGAAACAAAGGAGAGACGCAACGAGGAAGAAGAGTGGTGAAATTAAGGAGGCATGAATACACAAAAGCGGGAAATGGAGGAAGAAAAGAAAGGAAGGAATTTGAAAAGAGGATGGAAAGTGAAAGGAGAGAGGATGGGATGAATTGAAGGCTGGAGAAGGAATGAAGCGAGGCAGGGGGACAGGAGGACAAAGATGGACGGGTGGAAAGGGAGGAGAAAGTTAGGAGAAAAGGAGAAAGATGGGATGAAGAAGGTATAAAATAAAGGCTGGGGAAAAGAAGAAGCGAGGAAAGACGTGGTAAAAAAAAGGAGGAACAAAGGAAGAGGAAGGAGGGAAGACAAGGGATGGGAAGAAGCAGTGGGTCCAGGAAAGAAAGAATACTGAAAGGTAGAAAAACAAAGGTGGGAAAGGATGAAAAGAATACATGAAAGGGCAAAGAAGGAACAAATGAACGTGCGTAAGGACCACAAAAAAACAAAGGGAATCGAGGAACAAAGGGGAACTGAGGGGAAAAAAGGGAGAGACGAGTTAAACTGAGATGAAGAGAGGGTTGATGGCGACAAGGCGGCGAGCGTCTCCGAGAGGGTGATGTGCGATAAAAGAGGGGAAACGTGCAAGTGGAGAGGCACAGGCATAATGTTACAAGGACAGAGAGAGGGCAGCGTGAAAAGTAATGCCAAAGAAGGAGGAGATGGAGGGGGGGGAGTTGAAAGTAGAGGGGAGAGGAGGAAGAGGAGAAGGAGTTGAGGAGGGCGTGAAGGGGCTGGGGACAGAGCAGCGCTGAGTGAAAGTAATGAAGAGAGAGAGCACTTAGTATACCTGAGCTGACAAAAAGCCTTGGCTAAAAAGCCTTGCTGGCATGTTATCAAAAACCTGTCTGCATTTATACTTAGGGAGCACCATGACGCACTCTGAAATAGCACACGCAGACACATGGTCACATGCAAAGACACACCCTAAACTTGATGCCATATATCACATCAAACGGCTGCAGACACGGTCGATAAAAAGACTCGACATATTTGGACAGAAAAAAGCGAAGCGAAGAGTTGAAAATGCTTTAACTTGAGAGAAACGTTGTGACATATCCCGCGGGTTGAGGAAGCTAGTGTTACTTAAGCACACAAAGGGGGAAAAAAGGGGGAAAGAGACACTGTTTTGCTATTTTAGGAGTTAAAGGTGGAAAACAGCCTCCCTGTCCCTCAAACTCCCGGCATCCTGTTAGTTTGCACGATTTATTCAAAAGGGTTATCTTCTTTTTCTAGCTTATGGTGGCTAATGTTAGCAAACTTAAGATACATGTTGCTGTGTAACTGTTATTAAAGACATCAGTTTGCTCTCAATTATATGTTTTAGCATGCCACAAATAGACATTTCAATGAATCAACAGAAATTAAACGTGCCATTATCCTGCAATTGCCGCTTGTGGCCACAGTTGTCGCTGTTGAGCAAACGTTACATGAGACTCTTTGTCCCCTCAGAGGTCAGCGCTGTCAGTTAGTGTGTCAAAGTTCACTTCTTGATTTCTCTGAGAAAAAAAATCTCATGCGGATCCGCTGTGAGAAAATCTACTGAGCGATTTCCACTGGAATGAATGGATTTCACTGCGTAATTTCTCCATTTCATATGCTGGTGTGACCACGCACGCACACACACACACACACACACACACACACACACACACACACACACACACACACACACACACACACACACACACACGCACACCTCGTCCTGTGATCCATCTGGGCTCGGAGGGAGAAAAAGAGAGTTGACCATTTTCTCTAACCTTTTATTCCATCTGTCTGCCTTCACACTGTGATCAGATGTGATGTTGTCAAATTGGCCGGGCTCCTGTAAGCTGCTATAAAAACCTATTTCTGTACTAAACTAGGAAGTGCTATGTTACAAATAAAATAAATAAAATAATCTGTATTCCTTGAGGACAAACAGAAGCTCTTAAAAAGACAAACTTCAAACTGAAAGCTCTGGATAAAAAACATCAATGAACCGTATCTGATGCAGAAATGTAACTGTCAGTACAGATGCAAAGCCAATGCACACTAGTTGACATTAGCAGTATACTGCCAAGTGAATTTATTTTTTTATTTTCCAGCTATTTAAGGTGGGTAAATACAGCCGGTGCCTACATTTACTAGCGTGGTAAAAAAGCTTATGAAAGATGGATGGTGGAGGGGGAGAGATAAGGGAAGATGAGAGATTTAGAGGCAGAGGGAGGGAAAGAGAGATGGAGATAGAGGTTGAAAGATGAGATGCAGAGGTGGATAGTGGGAGGCAGAGAGGGACGGAGGAAATTAAAGATGAGAGAGCAGGAAGAAGAGAGGAGAGATAGATCTTTGGTACAATCAGAAGCATCTTGTAACACGAATGCAAAGCAACAAAATCAAGTGCAGGTCGTTTTCTGGTCAAACGCCTATTCAGCTTTATTAAAATGCTTCCCGGCAGCGAGGTATACACAAAAGCCCACTGAATAGTTTGTAGCCTTTGACTCTGATCTGCCTGAGTGGCTTTGTGCGCACATGTTTGAGTCTGTTTGCTTTATATTTTAGTTCAGCAAGAGCAACAACACTGAGGCAATTCTGTTGCCCCCCTGAGAGTTGCCCAAAAATGTAGCCCTGTATAATAAATGCAACAAGGTACACAGGAGTGGAGTGAGGGATGAGAGACGTGGAGGGTTAAAAACAAGGCTCAAGTGTTTTATCATTCATTCATATTTTACTCCCCTCAAAGCACAGAGCGGGTTTCGCTCAGCGGAAGCAGTCTCGACCAATCAAAAGTCAGCATGAAATGGAAAGGCATCAAATAACCAATCAGAAGTGAAAATAAATGTCAGTCTCAGCCGTAGTTCAATGGGAATCATATCTCTCTCTCTCTCTCTCTCTCTCTCTCTCTCTCTCTCCCTCAGACTGACTCACACACACATATTTCCCACCAGAGTAGATTGAACTTTTGTAAATGTGTGCTCCATCAGTACAAGCCCTGTGAGGCACTTAAATCGAGCACGCATGTTGGGGGGGGGGGTTGGTTATGCCTACAGGAATGGGTTGGGTTATTCTGAAGTGGGGCCGTATGAGGTTCTTATGCGTAGTCAGTGTATTTACATAGAGAAGCTGGTGATTGGAGAAGCAGACAGGAGTGCCAGCACAGACACAGAAGCTAAGTGATGGACTGCTGTGGACGGAGACAGCAACAAAATTTATTTTGGCCACTTAAAATTTAAAAAAGTAAAATAATTAACCTGATAAGTAACCACTGAATCATTATTTTTATTTTTATATAGCTTTTTGTTTTGGAGTAAATACTAGAGTAACTCACACTCTCTAGAGACTCCCTCTTTCTCTGTCTCTCTCATTGAGACACCGACACACACACACACGCACACACACACTAGCTTTTACTGTACAACTATCTTTTATCTTTGATATACATACAGTAAGCAAAGCCCTCTCTTCAGTTTTCTTTCCATACACACTTTGGTATATGTAGCTTGCAAATTAGTGCTTACCACTTTCTCACACACAGACACACACTGTGCTGTGTTGTGAGAAATTCTTCTTGCTGTAATGTGACCGTTTGCCATGTGACAGGATTACTACACGGTCACATTTTTTCTATTCGGCAAAGCCACTCCAAGCTGCCTTGCTGATTAACCACTGTAGTACTTTAGGTCCCTGCATCCAGAAAAAGAAACCATCAGTCCTGAAGCTGCAAATGTAAAATCAAGAGTACGCACATGACATTGAAAGTTGCTTTAGCCCTCAAAGCTCAGAAACAACCCGTTACCAACAGATACCTCTGAATCAAAGACATTAAAGGGTCGGGTCATTGCTCATGTGTCATGAGCCAGAATAAATAAAAATCAAAGGCTCGGAATTGGCTGCCGACAAAAGCAGAGCTTCAGGGTACTGTAAGGGCGCACAACTGCCAGAAGAAATAAATAAATGATAAAAACAATGCAGAGATCTGTGCTGATTGTGGATGTAGAAGTGCCCTTTATGTTTTTAAGTGGATTATGTTCACTTGTGTTTCTATCCGCTCAGATCAACTTGTTAGCAGAGGGTCACACCAAGAAACCTACGTCATTTAGGCAGAGCTGGCAAAGTGTGGAGACCTTCATGGTTTACCGCAATAAGATATAACATGACTGACCTGTCTGAGCTTTCGTGCACACTGCTGAGCTCCTGATATTCACTGATTATACGGTGGGATCCTCTGAAGTTTCACAACTCTCCAAATGCAAAATAAAATAAATAGTGATGCAAGGACTAACATGTTAGTGTCATAGCTGCAGGAATGGCAATGTCTGTCTGTTGGTCAATCCACCACTTTGGACATATCGCCGCAACTATTAAATTGATTGTCATGAAATTGTCATTTAGATTAGATAGATCATTTTTTTGATTAGCCAATTAATCATATAGTTTATTAAAAGTCAAATAAACAGCTTTAGTTAGTTGGTTCCACAGAAACCAAAGTGATTTCAACCAACCATCCAAAATCCAAAGTAATTCAGTTTACTGTGTCAGAAGTGTTCCAGATTGCAGATGATCCAC